GTACAATCGACATTTCTATTATAGAAACCAAGCAAATAACATATATATAAAAACACTTCGATTTTCAATTTTGGCGAATTGTACGCGAAAACGTTTTGAAGCTGTCGTTTGCATATTTACCGCATGATGAGCCTGTAAGGAAAATGATTATGGTCTCCAAGTGGTGCACTGCTATCACCATTGCAATTGCATTAATAATGCTGCAGGACAAGGACGAGAGAACGACGACAGGCACAACAGGACGAGGCGCTGGGAGATACCCGTTGCATACTTTTTGGCGCGCAGAATTTCATATTTGGCAATAATTATGCCCATGGCTATGCTCTGCGGGCCTGTGCATTAACCTGACTCAGTGCTGCAAATGTACATTTGTGTGTCTGTGTGTGTGTGTGCTTGTGTGCTTATTGTACATGTAGTTCCCATTATAATGCATAATTTATGCACGCATTTAATTAAATTCCAGTACTGGCACTTATTTTTGCATCAATTTGTTGGGCCCAAGCAGCCCCGGCGCTGACCTGAATTCCCCGAGCAAAGCCATTTAATTGTCTTTTTTTTAATTTAATAAACCCAAACAAAACCGCAAAAATTAACTGTCAAAATACTTACCAAATTAATTTAAAGCGGCCACGCAATTAGTCTAAACATTTCATTATCAAATTTGAAATATGCGCCCACTAATTGACAATTGGCCTACATTTAAATGCTGTTAAAATGATGCTTTTCGCTGGACTCAGCGTACTTTTGTTTATTTTTTTTTTTTTTTTTTGGTTTCAGTAAAACGCTGAAAGTTAATTATTCTTAATGGGCATTAGGCGGTAAGCAGATTGCGTATACGTATTTTTATGCGAAAAAACGCCATTTGATTGGATGTTGATAATAAATAATTATAAAATATGTAGAGTTGACTGATTGTATGACATGTATTCCATATTTCAATTAAAATTAGTTAGCTACCCTTATATACGTTTCTATTTGACATTTCAATTATGCTATTTCGCCTTTATGCTTAAATATTTGATATTAATATATAACTATTTGGATAGATATATTTATATACGTAGTACAATATATTCTCTAATGAGAGCAGCCAGAAACAAGTAAAATCCCATATGAGTATAACTTTTCTTTATAAAATTCAATTAGTTAGTATTTCGTTAAGAGAGATAAGCTTATTTTGGGGAACAGGCAGACGAAATATATATAAATTAGTTCAGTATTCATTTGCTTATATTGTAGGAAAGAAATTGGACATTTTCTTCAGGTTTTATTACCTAACATTATTTAAAGTAAAAAACTTCTTACATTGTTCCCCCAGTTGCAAATATTCCAAGCTTCCAGGTCTGCTGCTCAGTGTGGGGCTTTAAGGAACACACATATTTTCTAAGCTACACATGCACCTTTTGTACTAAAAAAAAAAAAACTCATTATGTATCTTTTCACAACAATAAATGTATTATGCAAATATTTATAGCCTACACTTGATTTATGTTATTATAGTCCATTGCAATTACAATTTAAACAAAAACAATTGTATTTAAATGAGATTTTAATTAGTTTGCTTGGTGTTAGTATGATTAATGCATATGCAAATAGGCTGCCAATTAATTGAATAACAATAAAAAAGTGTGCATTAACTTAATTAATATTATAAATGGTTAGATGTAAATACTAATAAAACCTTAAATGTAGCAATTAATCTCATCTTTAATAAACTTGAAGAGAAAAGTTTAACAAATATGAAAAATATGTGTAGAAAACTTGATCTCTTGATCAATTTGGCATCTAAAGCTGGCAGCATTATTCTCGTAATACTTATAACAAGAGCAAAGCATTCTTGAAACATATTGATAGCTAATTACGTTCTTATAGTTCTCTAGAAGCTTACAATGTTATTTCACTCCTCCCTCTAAATAAGCACACATGTTATTTGTCTGCTCCTATTCAAGGGGTATTAATTTGACACGCCCTTAAACTAAACTGAGTTTGCCAGCTAAGCAATTGAGCCCATTCGAGGCCCCTAAATCAATTGGGCCAAGTGTCTGCTATGACATGGTCAACTAATGATGATAGATCAAGCGTACTTACACTTAGTCACTGGCACATGGAACAGGAGGATGACAGGATGTCGTCATGCCAAGCATCATTGTGTGACACCGTAACTAATTTCATTCAACAGCAGCATCGATGCGCTGCTCACCCCCCACTACTGTATGCAGCTGTGAAGGACATTAAGTTGCCGGCAAGGACAACAATATGTCAGGCGCACAGGCGATCCGGAGTACAAGAGCTGCTCATTATTTATTAATTGCATTTAAGGTTGATGCAAATTTTGTGTGTGTGTGTTTGTGTGAGTGTGAGTGTGGGCCATGAACAGTTGCATGTTTCAATTAATTTTAGAATGCAGCTACAAATCATTGGGTCATAAATAACTTTATTTTTTCTTAGCATTATTTTAATTAACATTACATAATTAATTACATGTGGTTGGAGTTTGGCATTTACATGTAAATATTTTAAATTTTTATCCACCCTCAGACAATTCAAGGCTACTTATTTTCAAATATATATGCTGAAGGCAGCAAAAGGTATTTATAAAAGAAATCAAAGAAATTTCAAAGATAAGTTGATCAAAGTAAATATTGAGTGGCAGTGAATTTTGCAGCACTTTTATCTTGAGCTGGCGTGCTTTCCTTTATAAAATATCAAAAAGTTAAGTATAAAAATCGAATGCAGCTCAGTCCATATAGCTGCTGCTTAAATCGTGATTTGGCCTTTTAATGATAAACAGATAGCGAAAATATTACTCATAAAAATTGTGTTACTCTGTTAAGCTAATAAAACAGATCTTGGCCAGGTCAGTTTATTTTGCATTTAAAAGCTAGACATAAGCTCTAAATTCATTCTGGCCCAGAGGATGTTATATTTTGTTCATCTGGCCTATGCCCAGCTGCTGTCTTCCTTAGAGCACAGATGACCTTAGATAGCTCTTTTGGCAAAGCGTTTTTTATGAATATTTGGACAGGCTTGTACCAACAGTTTCCGCTGGCCACACCTCATAAGCCCTGATAATAACGTGGATAAAGTATCTGCATAGCTGCTGGGACCAGGACGCGCCTCTCTTCACACCTTCAAGTTGTGCGCGAAAAAGTTTGGCTTAACTTTGAGTTTCTGGCAGCTCACAAAAAAAACACAAAAAAAAAAAACGGGCATAAAAAACAATCCCTGCGCACGGCTTTTGGCCAAAACATGATGCGTACAAATGCAAGTCTCATTAATTTTGCCCGGATTGCAATTTAAAATTTAGTGCTTGGCCCCGCGCTGCAGATTGTTGGGACTACAGTTAATTAACACCTGTGCGTTACGTTGTTGTTGCCGGCGAGTCAGCGGCTGGCGTGGGCGGGCCCAGAGGCTGCTGGAAGGCGGGCTGGTGCAGTATAAGCCACTTCAGTCACACTTTTGTGCGCCACAGCCGTGTGCGCTGACGCAAAGCGGAAGTGGCACTTGGCAGGAAAGCAGCCGCCGTTGCCGCAGCAGAGTCTGCTGCCAGCAGCGAGCGTATCGAAAACCGAAACTTTTGATGGAAAAAGTTTGCAACAACAAACGCATTCTGCCCAGTAGCAATTGGATGAGAAGAGGGGCGGCGGACAACGGACGACAGACTCCTTAAAACCGTCAAGAAAGTCGCTATAATTCTCGCACAGTGCCTCATGAATTTTGATTTTTTCAGTTTAGTTATATACATTTTTTTCTACGCTTTCACTTTAAGCACGGTCTTAGATTTGAATAATGAGCAAGGTGCACAAAATGTGGCTATAAAAATTGCAGGCTTAAAGATTAATGTTTTGGCGCGCCTTAAGCCGAAAGTCGGCTAAACAAATTTATACCTAGATAAAAGCAGCCTAAAACAATTGAAAAGTGCGAGCCGCCGAAAACTTTTGGCCCCGCCAAAAGTTGGCCGCGCCACCAAAGTGCTCGGTGAATTGTGGCCGGAGTAGCAGCACGCAGCCACCATGACAGCCGCCATGAAATACGGCACAGTTGCAGCCGCGAGCATCCTGGTCGAGTTCCTGGCAAGGCCAGAGGCTCTCATAATTCATGGACCACAGGCGTGGCGCAGCACGCCCAGCGCCTGCGGTCATATTATATTTTTGACCCCAACCGACAGCTGCAGCCGCCGGCAACGAATTGAATTGGATGTCAGCAACTGCTCGAGATTTGTCTAATTGCTAAGCAGCTTCAAAAAGCAGCTACTCGTACTTTGATCTGGCCGTATCTTGACGTTGCAGTATGCCTCATGTCTCTCGGGCTTCTTTCTGTATTATGCAAATGCGCAGTAGCTACAAAAAGTTTGTCACTTGAGAAAAGAGCTTTAAAAAAAACCGACAAGAATGCACTGAAATGGCGTGAGCAACGAGAAGATACCCTATAGAGTTTACCGCTTAGCTCCATAGTATGAAGTTTACGATATGAATTATGTACTTACTAACTGATATAATCAATTATGGTAAAAAGAATCGATAGTAGAATCCAAAAAGCACATTACTTCAAATATTGATCGTAACGTTCTAAGCACGCGTCTACAATAATTATATTGGATAAGTAATACACACATAATATCCATTAAGCCCTTTAGCTGTTTACAGGGTACACAAAAAAGCAAGAAGAAACTGCAACAGGGGCAAGTTTTTGCCGAGTGGTAGCCACAGCTAGAATGTTGATGACTTTGGTAACAACTTAAATTGTTTGGCTGCATTGGATATATATATACTCCTAAAGAGGACAAAGTTGAAATGCGTTTAGGGACTGTCGATTTGTAAGCAAACTCGTGCTGCTCTAATGCTGCATAAGCGATGACCGACATTTTAGCCAATTAAGTTGCCTACTTAAACTTCTGGATGCACTTTTGTTCATTTTTCGAAAATAACAAAACTACAACACACTTTTATGATGATTTAATGTGCCAACTTGGAGTGTATAAATGATAGTAATAATATTACAAGTATAAAACAATTGTAAAAAACACAAAAAATAATGCCCAAAGTGGACCAACTTTGTGATCTGAAAAAGACATGCGGCTTGTACGAATCGAATCGACCGGCATATGGCGCCTCCGGCGGCTCCGTAAACTCGTGCTGAGCCTCCAGTTGGGCTGCATCAATGATCACCTCTGGATTTTGATTGCGCTTATCGCTGGCATCCAACAGCATTTTACGGCTTTCACTTGAAAAATGACACAAATACTGGACAGCTTTAAATTACTTGCAACAATTATTTACCACATTTTGCAGCACCCGGAAACAAAATTCAATAGATTTAAAAATGCAAAATCAAAATCTCGGCGCGTTGTTATCAGCTTCAAGGCAATTGGCGAACTAATTCACAATACCATCAGTGGCTCCCACAAATATTATTTGTTTTTATGCGCTGAATTTCAGTTTCAATTGCAAGCCGCAACATCAAATGCAAAAGTCAGCAAAATGCATTCCAAGAAATCTTTTGCTCCTCTGCGCTTTATCGCCTTCAACGGCCAGTACATTAGCAAAATATGTACACAAAGTAGTTATATTGTTGTTGTTAGCTCTGGCTGCTGCATATATGATTATTTGAATTCTTTCTCACATCAATAATATTTACAAACGTGCTCAAAGTCGAAAAAAGTACCCTTTGAGGCAACGGTTATATACCCGGCTTGAATACCCTTCTAGCTGAAAAGTGGACTACTCGGTGGTTTCGCAATGCATACATCTAGTTAGATATAACTTACAGATCAACTGAATCATGTCTTAAGTTACAGCCTTTAGGCGAAATTACAGAGAAATTGCAATTGTTTCCACCATGTATAGAACCTCATTTTAAAATAATATTTTAAAATAAAATATACTTTGGAAATCAATAAGGGTCATCGATGCAACACGAATAGTCTTTTCTAAATTTTAAAGAAAATATAATTATATTCCACATATTATGCATGCATAACAAGTAAGAGGTTCTAGTCGGGAGCTCCCGACTAGGGGATACCCTGAACCCTCTTCTTCCAAAATCAAATGCATATATATAATCTATTTTAGAAGCTATATGTCAAGTTTGGTGACTCTAGCTCTTATTATTTACCAAAATTGCCCAAAAAACAGTATATCGATATCGATTTTTATCGATTGCTTGGAAACGGAGTAAGTTATCGATTATCGGAAAAACTCGATCTGCGCAGGCACTAGGAGCACCTACATCTTCAAGTCTCTAGCTCTTATAGCTTCTGAGATCCCTGCGTTCATACATACGGACAGACAGACAGACGGACATGGCTAGATCGACTGGGCCATTGATGCTGATCAAGAATATATATACTTTATGGGGTCGTAGATGCTTCCTTCTGCCCGTTACATACATTTGGATTATGCACAAATACAATATACCCTTATACCCATTTTTAATGGGCTTAGGGTATAAAAAGGTTCAGGGTATCCCCTAGTCGGGCACTATCGACTAGAGCACGCTTTATTTATTAAAGAGCAATATTAAAGGAAAGGTGTTAAAGTACTTGTGTGCTTGGATATGCTTACAATGCACTTTTGTTATGTTATTATTATGATGGTCCATGGTCAAACATTTGGAGCACACAATTTAATTAAGCTAAATGTATTTAGTTGATATACAATAATTCTCTGGTAAGCTTTTAAGTACGTTATAGCCTAAGCAAATGCCTATTAAAATCATTTGATTTTAATTATTAACTATAGCTATGCCTATATTTAAATCGAATGGTATGAATGTGTATTTTCATGCGTATAACTTATTTTACTTTATGCTATTGTCAGACATGACGAATCTATGTATATTTATAAGTTGTGATTAAGCTATCTTGAATTCGAATTTTGTGGCCTATGCATTCAGATACAAGTAAACAAAAATTATTAATATGAAAGCAAATAATAAATAACGTAAAATTTCAATTTATTTGCATATATAATTGTAATTAATATAATGCAAAATAAATTTGTTATCACCCACAAACCTGTTTGCATGGCACTAAATTAGTGAATTTATCGTCTAACAGTATTTTATTGCATTTTAAAACGCAGCAAACGACATATGTAATCGGTGGTTTAAATATTTTACATATTTACATTGTTGTATTTCAATAGGCAATAAAAAAGCCGATTGTAAATATCAACAATAAATATTTTTTCAGCGCAAACAGAAATTTACTGCATGTGTAAAATTAAGTTGTTGTTGTTGTGTGTTGAGCATGTGTATGTGTGTATGTGTGTGTAGTGAGCAATGAAAATTGATATTGTGATCGGTTTATGTGGACTACCTAAACATGACCCACTATTTTTTACTAATAGATACCCTGTAGGATTAAATAGATGTATAATAAAGCCTGAAATACCAACGCTTTGTTCTTAGCCTATCCTTAGTAAAACCTACCTTAGCTAAGGCCCTTGTACAGTCTATCCAGAGAGGTGCGATAAATCAATTCGGCAATGAATACTATTCTGTGCTTAATTTGCTTTAGTCCATAATACCTCTTGCGCTTATTGCATCTGTACAGGGTGTAAGTATGCACAGCATAAAAAATAAAAAAAAAAATATATGTGCATAAAAAGTTTCAAATTACGTTACTCTTTAAACTGCTTGACTTAAGCCAAAAACAAAAATTGCATTAAAAAACAGTTACATAATATCACATATTAAAAATAAATCATTTGAAAATAAACTCTTTAAAATTGTAATTTGAAGTACTTTATAGTTACATACTAGAAACATAAGCTTTTTAAAATATATCCATATTCATTAATCAGCGATTCGATTCGGTAACTTAGAACACTTTACATATATATATTTTTTTAATTAAAGCAAGGTATAATTTATATTATCTCTTAAAAAAAATTATAGAATATTAATTTAATAATGTAATATGCTTTTATCAAATGTTTATATGTAGAGTGCAAGCCTGCAATTGAGTATATCAATAATAATCTCAAGTACCTTCAATTCTTATCATCAGTTTGTCCTACCTAAGATAGTAATATTATTAGCCAACTCTTCGTACTATACAATTTACAAAATATATTTAATATACACAAATTTGTGACACGATCCTGCATATTTTTTAGTATCATCAAGGTAAGAACCACGTAATTTAGAAGCATTATAAGGACTCCATAATATACATACATTATATTATGAACACAGCTTTGGCCTTTAAAGAAATTGATAATGTAGCTCAAAGTGCTTTTGTTGATTTAGAACTAAAAAAAATGTCAACATTGCATGGGTTGGAATAAGAGATGTCACATAGACCTGGTTTGTGTATATGAAAAACTTCCAAACAAAAAAAAAAAAAACAAAAAAAAGTAAAACGAAACGCATTTCATTCATGATGAAAGCAAACACAGCTATGTGAGAAAATCAACAAAATGGGTAACAAATTTTGTTTACAAATAAAAAGAAAAAAGACCGTAATTAGTACATACACATATTTGTTGTAGCTGTTATTGCTGGGCTGCTGAAGCGTCAGAAAAAAAAATACATATATATATATCGAAGTCATAATTGATAAGGTTGCAGTTTTCAAAGAGTCGAACGAAGAATCGTAATAGCGTCTTATCTTATCTGAGTCACAAAAAACAAAAAAATATATACACATACTGAACACATTTGTCAGCGCTGTTGTTGTAGCTGTGGTAGCCTTTGTTGCTGCTTCAATTAACACCTTTGCGCTGTGATAATAAGGCAGACAACAACTGCGACTGCTCAATACTGACGCCCGGCGTTAAACGCGTCGCGGGCTCGCGTCTCTCTCTCATTTAGTAAAGAGACGAACGTGCTGCGACATGGACACGGACGAGAAGAAGGTGGCGACGGCGCCGCTCGGCGGCGGCAACGATGAGATCGATTTCACCAGCGGCTTTGAGACACAATATCGCAAGGAGTACAGTCCATTGCGGCCAAAATATGTACCGCCGCCAGACAAGCGAAACGCCTGGTACCGGAGCATATCCACCATCATACTGATCATATTTTTGGCCAGCGTATTTCTACTGGGCTCCGTGCTGCTGGTGGTAATGGTCTTTACCGCCAGTCCACTGCAGGTGTTACTCATTGTGGCCGTGTATGTGGTCATAGCAGCGTTTATGATCTGGCTGGAGGTGCAAAGCATCAAGGTGCGATGATGAATTGAGCCACGTAACCAGTTCCATCCGTGTTCAACTATACCATAATAAATCTGACGACATTTCTGGTGGCAATTATCTCGGGTCTTAAGTGTTATGCAAACATATTTAAAATAATCATATTAAATATGAAACGACTTTTGCTGATTAAGGCATTATATAGTTAATACTGATACCAACTAGCTTCTAGGTAAAATTCCAATAAATTATCAAAAAAAAAAACCTTAACAAAACACTCGGATTTCGTGGCGGCGCTCTTCTCAACCAAAAAAAAAATATATATATATATATATATATATATATGTTATTGCTATAAACAAACCTGCTAAGTGTAATCGAAACGTTTTTTACGATCAATAAATGAACCATCGAATTCATAAATAGTGTTTTCTACACCAAATTCATTTCGGACTCAATTTCAAGATAACTTAGTAACAGTCTTTGAGAACTAAAGAATTGGTTTTTAGCTGTTGCATCAAATGACAATGAAATATAAGCAAAACAACAAAACTGTTGACATTCAACTCGCACTACAATAGCTTCATGACTGCAGAATATATAAAATACATATACAAGGTTATTATATATATATATCAAAAGTGGAGCGTTAAAATTGTTGTAATTGAGAGCATGACTTTTGACAGAAAAATTTGTCAACTCAAAACTTCTAACAACGTTCCACAATCAAAAAACATATTTTCAAAATTTGTGATTAATTTTATATTCATAAAAATTGTATATTAAGAATTATTCTTCGTGGCGTAAAATACAAGCATTCAGTATATATGAACTTATGAAACTTTATATCATACGGACAGATATCATAGACATATCATGAGCTTCGTATAACTTAAGAACTTAAAAGTTACGTGAACAATTTGTATTCCCTTGTTGAGGGTATTATGACTTTGTCATAAAATATATCACGATAGAAGGAGATATCTCCGAGCCCATAGAGTATATATACTCTAGATCAGCATCAACAGCCGAATTGATATAGCCAAGTCCATTTGTCTTGAAACTTTGCATAGAACCATCTTTCGGCTGTACATATGTATGTTCGAGCTGGGCGGAGGAGACCACTATCTTATATAACTGCCAATTGGAAAGCTGGGCCGAATAGTTGGTTCTTATAAAAATATTTTGTTTTCCAAGCTATTTTCCTCAAACTCAGCACTTACGAGCTTCACTATGCTCACATAGGCAAATGTCTACAAGAGTATTAGATCTTTGGAGTGCCAAAAATATTCTTACTTTCTGTTTTTTTTTTCAAATTCTGCCAAGCAAAGCAGAACAAAGCAATCGCATCCTGTTGAAAAAAACTACAACTTTAATTTCCGCTAGCAAAAGGTGACTGAACGAGGGCAAAGGGCAACAGCTGACTTACCTTAATTACTCACAGTATTTCGAGCCATGCTAATTATTTGCACAGTGCACTAAGGAAAATACGTATATATATGTTTGTGTGTGTTTGTGTCTGTGTGTGTGTGAGTTTGTGTCTGTGTGCCTGTGTATGCTTAGTGTGGCTCGTGGCCAAGACTAGGATGGCGTCGACGCCGGCGTATTTAATTATAATGGCGAATGCGCTTAGCTTAAGCATTAATGTCGTTTCCGTCTGTTGACGGCGATGGCGATTGCGATGACGATGGCAAGGACGAAGGATATATATATATGTATATAGCAAGCTAAAGGCGTGGCCTTTTTTTTTGGCTAGCCTGGCCGCTCGGTGTGGCGTTTTAATTAGAAACCCGGCATGTCCTTTAAACATAATTTTTCTTTGGCTGCAAGAAGATTACGTTTGAAGTTGTGGATTGCGCTTTCTGATTTGCTGCCTTGATAACAATTAAATGCAATCATTAAGCGTAAGTTACCCTGTAAAAAGGTTTAAGCATAAAGTCTACTGCAGCCAAGTTCATTAATATTCCGCGATAAGGCAGAGAACAAATTGATTTTCTTGCCAACTTTGCATAGTATCTGATAGTCGTGCCTTTTTATATTCTTACCACAGTCATTCTTTGATTTATTGCTCGATTGGCCAATATTGTCAATAAATGCTTTATTTAAACAAAAGCTGCCTGCAGTCATTATTTTTGCTCTGTTCATATTTATTTATTTATATGGTTTTCAACTATTTAAAGGCCTGAATTATGCATAAGCGAAACATTTTAAGTTATTCTGTTTTTGCAATAAAACACAATTGTTATAGACATAGTCAATTGCACAACAAAAGGTTACAGGCCAAGTATGTAAATAGACAAGGATTGCACATTTTGCAAGGACACCAGGGCCAAAACGTAGCTGTCGCTGATTTTTGCCTCCTTCTGCCATGTCTAGGGAAATGTGTCTTAGAAATTTCTTAAGTAAATCTCAGTTGAACACTTTTCATTTAGCCTTTCAGGCGTTGCCAAGCTAAGAAAGCGAAGGACAAACTGGGTAAATGAAAAATTTGAATGCAAGACCTGCGGACAGTGTCTGAAGAGTCCTTGGAGACTGCTGCTTGGCAAGGATAAGTTGAAATTTATAAATAAATAAGACTAAGCTATAAACCAACATGTGTTGCTGTTATGAAAACAAAAGTGTTTATTTGTTAGCCGCATATAATTATATATTCCTATTTGAATTTAAAAATGTTTAGTAAATTTAAGCTGGAGTTAAATTTAGCTGGCATTTAAGTTAACAGCCCTTAGAGACAGACAGATAAATAAGTCATTAATTCTCTTTAAAAATGACTGAAAACTGTTATTATACACATGTTAAAGAGCACTGCAAATATTGATTGAATATCATATGTAAATTATGCTCATACAAAATGTAGCATTTTTTATAATATTTTTTAACCTTAACGAAAATTGCAAAAAGCAACCGCAACACTTTCAACAAGAGTAATTATGCATTTTATAATGCTTACAAATTAACAACAACAAAAAAAAAGAAATGCTGCTGAGCATTTTATTTGAAATTTATGCAAAAAGCCTGGAAGCCTTGTCGAACAACACTTTGGTCCATCCAATGAAGAGTCGCATTTAGATTTGCACACAAACGCATTTGAATATTCAATTAAGTCTAACTGCCAATTCTGTGATAAGCTGCTGCTCAACCCCAAAAGCTGACAACTGACTGAGCGCTAACCAAAAATCTGGAATTGTGTGCAATAAAAATAAACTCAATTCAAGGCCGACAACTGTGTGTGCGCCTATTCTATTCGCTTTTGGCCAGATACATTGCCGATTGCAAGCTGTGATGCCAATTTGCGTGCTAAAGCTGGGCCATAGACGTTTTCTTCTCATTTGTGCTAAGATTACAACTGACATACATTGAAATTAAAAGTATATTCAGAAAAGTGTCCTAAACATTAGATGCTTCATAGAACCAATCGACAATATCGATAGAGTAATCGAAACTTTTTGTTATCAAAAGCATATTTGCTTTGCAAGCAGATTTTATTAAGCACATTTTGTTATTATGCAATGTAAATTCGAAAACCAAATGGGGAATAAAATTTGTCACCTAAAAACACAAAGAAGAAACATAAATTTCCAAAATTCTCGTGCTCTGTGCATGTATAGTATGTAGAGAATGTAACGAGCATGTCAAAGCATTTTGTGACATATTTTATTTATTTTATAACGAGTAAATGCCGAAAAAGTCAAAAGTACGCAAACAACATGCATAAATTACCACAAAAGAGACACTTCGAGCGAGAGGCATTTGTCCTGGGGCTAGTCCTGAGGCTACGCTGCAACTGCAATGTGCAAAATGTGTTGAAATATTAAAGCCAAAAAAAAAAAAAACAGAGAGAGAGAGAGAGCACAGCAAAAGCTGTGGCCAAATGCAGATGAGCAGCATTCTTTCTATGCCAAAGTTTTTGGACACTTTTCTGAAAGCCTAACAGGCCACTTTAGTTTTAACCGCAAAGTTTGCTGTGTGCACCGACCTCGTTGCACTTTTGTTTGGCCATTGGCCTTTCATGTCATTTAACTATTTTTCGTTATTTCTCTTTTCTTTTTTTTTTCCCAGTAGCAATTTGCTAGCACAAGAGTGGTGTCCTGCACACTGTTGATTGCCGGGCATTTCAATGGGCAACTGTGAAGTAGTCTGGACTATATTTATTTAGATTCAAGTTGCGTGTCGCTCAGTTGCCAAAGCCACTCGTTTAAAATGTTGCATATATATTTGACCTTTATACTCTTGCGAAATATCGAGCAAATTAAAACAGGCTTCTGTGTCCGCACAAGGTCAGGTTGATCGGGACGCCTAAAATCGATGGTTGGCAATTTCTAGAGAATTCTTTTTTTACCTGGTAGGTAGGTCGCAGGGGTGTAACCTTTGGATGCGTGTTTCTGTGATTGGATTAGCCAAGACTCTAGAGATCGCGCTCGGATGAAGAATTTGAGAATTTGGTTGAAATTTGCAGCTGGCAAACAGCCAGCCGAGCTTTTGGAGCTCTCTCAACCACTTTGCTCTGGTTGCTGCGATGTGGAAGCCCCAGATGTGCCTGCGCTACAAAAATATATTTTGCAATTAGAAAACTTTGTTATTTGGTAAGGGTATTCAGTATTCCTTAGGCCGAATACTCGAATGCCAGCCGTACTTGTTCCACTTCTGCTTTATCCATCAACTAGTATAATATTTATCCTCTTGGCATTGATTTTATTGCCTGCTCTTCGATTGTTGAGTGCTTGCGTTTGCTCTCTTTTTTTGTTTTCTTTTATTTATTTATTTTTTTGTTGCTGCATTTAATGGCATGAAAATTAATTTGACATTAAATAGTGTGTGTTGCATTGTTCTTGTATTGTGTTATTTATTGTATTAATGTTTGCGAAATGCAAATAAATTGAGCAGGCACATTTTACGCTTGTTTTATATTGTCACGTGTCGCTTGCCGACATTGCCAGCATATTATATTTATGAGTATCACAAATAAATCAGACCGTTAATGTGTTAATTATTTCATACTGTTGCTGCCACCGTTGCGTATACTTGATAAATATGTAATTGCATATGCAAACAATTGAACAAAATTATTTGTAAGCACAGTAAAGGTGCTCGAAGCAGCAACAAAAAAATCATGTATTATTGACACGTGTTGACTTTATTGGAGCTTATATAAAACGAACTTAAAAATTTTCTCTTTTAAGCTAAGCTAGTTTGAAATATTGTGTATATAAAAATATAAAATATGCTAGATATGTTTTGTAATATTTTCTCATAATTTATTTATTTAATTTGATTGCTTCAAATTGTTCTTGTATTATCAAAAATATGTATAAATATTATTTAATTTATGTTTCTTTAGAAATTAATATTGATTATTATTTTTCTAGTACTTTA